ATTATTAAAATTAAAATATAGAAATTCAAAAAATTTAAGTGAAAAAATAAAAATAAACTTAAAAAATTATTAAAATTAAATTATTTAAATATATAATAATATTATTGCAAATAAATTAGAATATATAAAATAAAAAATAAAATAACTAAATAATTTAAAAATTGAAAGAATAAAATATTATAAATATTATTTAAATAAATTATTAAAAATATAAAATATTAAAAACTGTACCGGTACCCTCTCAAATAAGATGGGTACCATAGAATTTCTCTTATAAATAGTGAAACTAGCTGTCGAGGCGCATCGGATCAAATACATTGACAAGCACAACTCATAAATGCTTCATTTATGAAACTTAGTATTTTGGTGGGATTCTGATTCCTCCATTAATACTCTCACCTACGCTCACGCAACTCAATGCAACGCACTCTCTAGTACCTTCAGGAACTCAAATACTTCACGCAATTCTTATAATTTAATTATAAGTAGTAGTACCTCCCTCCCTTCCTTTTATATTTACAATAATTGTCCATCAAGAAACATAATAATTTCTTTTATTTTTTTTATAAAATAATTTTTATATTTTTTATTATCTTTTTTTTCATTTTTACTTTAAAATAATTAAGCATTAATTATCATATATAAATTAATTAAGAGTTAAATGAAATATAAAAACATAATCAATAACATAACAATTAATTACAAGTAATTAAAAACAAAATTTTACTTATAAAAAACGGGACGGAGAAGTAGTACACTACAATTTAAGTAAGCTTTATTTATTTATTTATAATTTTAATGCAAATATCCAACCTAAGTTGTGTGTGCGCACTTGCAATGTTGGTATGGCGTGATTAGTGCGTATTAATATTGAATGCAACACGGCTGAATGAATATTCAACCTTAGATTTCTTTTCATTTGACAATTGAGAAGCAGAGGGTGTTGATTCATGAGGCCCCAGAAACATAGAAAGAAGCGACATGCTGTTTTCAAGACTAAATTAAAAGACTATTGCCATGTCAAATGTCAACTTTATTTCTAACGAGACTTCAACATCATAGATTGCAATGAACAGCGACAAAATAATACTATATAACTTTACGAACTACAACCAGTCATATTAATATTTTGCAACTGACTAGACTCCGCAGTCCTTATTAATTATTCAGCTGGTTGATTAATAAATAAAAAAGAAAGAAAATAAATAATGATGCAGATACAATGATGAAGAAAGTAGTATTGATATATCTTAAAGCGGTGGAGAGGTGGAGAAGGAAGGATTAACATTTAACACATTGACATGTAGTAATATATGTAGTTACACAAAAGAAGAAGAAGCACATAGGGTAGGATTCCATTCTGAGTACTAGTTTTGTGTTCAAAACCAGTCACTAGTGTCGAGGACTTGACCCCAACTAAGAACCCTTGCCAACCACTCATCATCGAAATCTCCTTCATCTTTCATGTCTTCACCAGCATTGAGTTCCATGGATTCATCCTGAGCATGCAGAGTGGCATTTGAGGGTGGTGAAGAGGGGGCGATGATCTCTTTGTAAAGCTCTTGCATGAGTTTTTGTATGGTTTCTTCTTTGAAAGAGAACTGTCCCACATCGTTGTCCATGTCGGTGAGAATCTCGTGGAGCTTTCGGATGAGAGATTCGGTGGAGGGAGAGTTCTCTTCCGTTAGAGCCATTCTGTGACTGAACAGTGATTCTGTGACTTGGTAATCGCTAACTCATAAATATTGAAGAGAGTGCGATGCCACGCTGGCAGTGAGGTAGATGACGTGGCAGATTTTGATGATCCTCGTGTGACGAAAGAAAGCATCACTCTTCTTCGGTGGGCCGTTCCGCCTTGCTTCGCACATGGGGACAATGTTTTCCTACCATGCCTGTCTATCACCCGCGCTCCCACCCCATGCAAAATTTCCACATGCCTTTAAAAACTTTTATAAATTATTTTGATTTAATTTTTCATGAATTATAAAGTGACAGACCAAAAAAACTCTCTTTTTCATTTGGATTTAAAAATTTAAAACTAAGCCCGTTTGACATAACCCATATAAAACTCGAAGTTCTAACCCTGTCTACCCGATAAACCACCTGAAACTGTCTAAAAACAATTTTTTCTTTCAATTTTTTTGCGTTTGGTTTGGTTTGTGGGTTTGTACATGTATTTTTAGTCCTATTTTACGGCATACTTTTGTTTAAAAATTGTTTTAACAAATATTCAAGAATATCCTCCAGCATTTATTACAATTTCTTATGAGTTGTTTAATTCTATGCAATGGTTCTTAACATGAAATGATGTGACATTCTTTGTATACGCAGCTTTGTACCCCCATTGCTTTTAACTATGAAACATATAGATGCAGGTTGAGATAGAATAAATGAACATTCAGGCTTTATTGGATTTGAGGGTGGAAAAGGGAGAGTGAAAAAGGAGGGATTTGAAAAGAAAGTAAGTGGAAAATGAGGTTGATTGGATTAAGGGAAAGTGAGTGGAAAGTGTAGAGAAAGTTTGTGAAAGTTTGTGAATGAATTGATTGATGTGATAGATAAAAATAGATTTTTTAATTAATAGTTGTGAAAGATTACTATTTTGCCCTTAGGTTAAATTTTTTTTTTATAATTATTATAATTAAAAGATAAATATATAAATTTTAACTAAAAAAATTATAAAAAATTAATTTAAAAATAAATTAATTTAAATATTTGCTTTAAATTTAATGATAGATAAAAAATAAAAATTTAAGAGATGAATATATAATTTACACTTTTACCCTTGGATTAAAAATGAGTATAATATTATTTATTGTAATTAATAATAATTACAATAAAATTATATTAATAGG